TCCAGTACGTTGTTATTTACTGTGTAGATTTGGTACTTGGCCCTCCAGTATCTTCCAGGTGTATATTATTTGATATCTCTCTCGTCTTCTTTCTAGTGAGTACATTTGGAGGGCTTTGAGACGATCCCAATCAAATGGACCCGAGACGGGTCCATCATGAAATAATGCAGCGGCATCAAACTAACTGGTGTGGCATTTTGCTATCACTTCTTCAGTTGATGCGTCAGTTTCTCTCAGATTTTGATATATTATACTTTAATTGACCTTTTAAAACGTGGGAATGAAGGCGTTTTTTTAAATATGAGAAATAATTATTTGAGATTATCAGGTTAGCTTTGATTGCCAGGCGGTCTTCAAAAAAACTTTCACATTGAACTTGAGAAAATATAGAATGTGGCAACGTTTAAAATTAGACTATTTGCATGTAAATTTCCGAAATAAAAGAATTCTTTGACAACACTTTGTTAATATAAAATATTACCATGAATAAAAAGTTACCTGTCGATTCGGCCTGTGCAAATCATCATTCGTGGGAAAGGCTTAAAACTCTGTTGTAAATTAATCCAATTTTCTTTCCTTAATGAGTCAATTATGAGTATATAATGGTTCATGGAATTCTGAGTTCAACAGCCTGCCCTCACTATGTGTCCGGTCTGTGTACATGTACCGTACATGTGTCCACTTTATGTGTTTGTACCGTACATATGTGTCCACTTTGTGTCTGTTCCGAACTTATGTGTCCAGGTCGGGTGTGGTCGTTATAACCAGGTCAGGTGTGGTTGTTATAACCAGGTCGGGTGTGGTCTTAATAACCAGGTCGGGTGTGGTCCTAATAGCAAGGTCAGGTGTGGTCGTTATAGAGCAGGACTCTACAGTGCACCTCGCGTGTGGTCTCTAAAATCTCACTTATATTTTCGCTGTTTTGCTTTCTCTTCCTTCTTAGCCAGTGTGTGGTGCTCTGTGGTGCTCTGTGGTGCTCTGTGGGGCTCTGTGGTGCTCTGTGGTGCTCTGTGGGGCTCTGTGGTGCTCTGTAGGGCTCTGTGGTGCTCTGTGGTGCTCTGTAGGGCTCTGTGGGGCTCTGTGGTGCTCTGTGGGCTCTGTGGGGCTCTGTGGTGCTCTGTGGGGCTCTGTGGTGCTCTGTGGGGCTCTGTGGTGCTGTGTGGTGCTCTGTGGTGCTCTGTGGGCTCTGTGGTGCTCTGTGGGGCTCTGTGGGGCTCTGGTGTATTCAGTGGTGCTCTGTTGTGTTCCCTAGTGCTCTGTTGTGTTGCCTGATGCTCTGTTGTGTTGCCTGATTCCCTGTTGTGTTCCCTGATGTTCAGGTGTGCCTGAGCCTGATGCTCTGTTGTGTTGCCTGATGTTCTGTTTTGTTTCCTGGTGCTCTGTTGTGTTGCCTGATGCTCTGTTGTGTTCCCTGTTGCTCTGTTGTGTTTCCTGGTGTTCTTTTGAGTTTCCTGTTGCACTGTTGTGTTCCCTGGTGCTCTGTTGTGTTCCCTGGAGCTCTGTTGTGTTGCCTGATGCTCTGTTGTGTTCCCTGGAGCTCTGTTGTTTTCCTCGGTGTTCTGTTGTGTTTTCTGGTGCTCTGTTGTGTTCCTCGGTGCTCTGCTGTGTTCCCTGGAGCTCTATTGTGTTTCCTGGTGCTCTGGTGTGTTGCCTAATGCTCTATTGTCTTCCCTGTTGCTCTGTTGTGTTCCCTGGTGTTCTGTTGTGTTTCCTGTTGCTCTGTTGCGTTGCCTGATGCTCTGTTGTGTTGCTCTGTTGTGTTCCCTGGTGCTCTGTTGTGTTGCCTGATGCTCTGTTGCGTTCCCTGGTGCTATGTTGTGTTGCCTGGTGGTCTGTTGTGTTGCCTGATGCTCTGTTGTGTTGCCTGGTGCTCTGTTGTGTTCCTCGGTGCTCTGTTGTGTTTTCTGGTGCTCTGTTGTGTTTCCTGATGCTCTATTGTGTTTCCTGGAGCTCTGTTGTGTTGCCTGATGCTCTGTTGTGTTCCCTGTTGCTTTGTTTTGTTCCCTGTTGCTTTGTTGTGTTCCCTGTTGCTTTGTTGTGTTCCCTGGTGTTCTGTTGTGTTTTCTGGTGCTCTGTTGTGTTCCTCGGTGCTTTGCTGTATTTCCTGGAGCTCTATTGTGTTTCTTGGTGCTCTGTTGTGTTGCCTGATGCTCTGTTGTGTTCCCTGTTGTTCTGTTGTGTTCCTTGATGCTCTATTGTGTTCCGTGTGTTATGTTGTTCTGTTTGCAGGGATGCTCTGTTAAGTTATGTTGTGCTCTTTTGTGTTTTGTTTTCTTCTGTTTTGCTCTGTTGTGCTCCGATGTTCTCTGTTATATTATCTTTTCTCTGCTGTTCTGTTCGCTGTCGTGCTCTGTTGTGTTCTGTTTGCTCTGTTGAACTCCTTTGTTTCTCTGAGTAGCTCCGTGGTGCTCTATTGCGCTATGTTGTGCTATCTGGTGCTTTGATGTACTCTGCTGTGCGTTGTTGTGCTCTATTGTGCGATGGTGCGCTCTATTGTGCGATGGTGTGCTCTATTGTGCGACGGTGCGCTCTATTGTGCGATGGTGTGCTCTATTGTGCGACGGTGTGCTCTATTGTGCGATGGTGTGCTCTATTGTGCGATGGTGCGCTCTATTGTGCGATGGTGTGCTCTATTGTGCGACGGTGCGCTCTATTGTGCGATGGTGTGCTCTATTGTGCGACGGTGTGCTCTATTGTGCGATGGTGTGCTCTATTGTGCGATGGTGTGCTCTATTGTGCGATGGTGTGCTCTATTGTGCGACGGTGTGCTCTATTGTGCGATGGTGTGCTCTATTGTGCTATGGTGTGCTCTATTGTGCGATGGTGTGCTCTATTGTGCGATGGTGCGCTCTATTGTGCGATGGTGAGCTCTATTGTGCGATGGTGTGCTCTATTGTGCGACGGTGTGCTCTATTGTGCGATGGTGTGCTCTATTGTGCGACGGTGTGCTCTATTGTGCGATGGTGTGCTCTATTGTGCGACGGTGTGCTCTATTGTGCGACGGTGTGCTCTATTGTGCGATAGTGTGCTCTATTGTGCGATGGTGTGCTCTATTGTGTGATGGTGTGCTCTATTGTGCGATGGTGTGCTCTATTGTGCGACGGTGTGCTCTATTGTGCGATGGTGTGCTCTATTGTGCGATGGTGTGCTCTATTGTGCGATGGTGTGCTCTATTGTGCGATGGTGCGCTCTATTGTGCGATGGTGCGCTCTATTGTGCGATGGTGTGCTCTATTGTGCGATGATGTGCTCTATTGTGCGATGGTGCGCTCTATTGTGCGATGGTGCGCTCTATTGTGCGATGGTGTGCTCTATTGTGCGATGGTGCGCTCTATTGTGCGATGGTGTGCTCTATTGTGCGATGGTGTGCTCTATTGTGCGATGGTGTGCTCTATTGTGCGATGGTGCGCTCTATTGTGCGATGGTGCGCTCTATTGTGCGATGGTGCGCTCTATTGTGCGATGGTGCGCTCTATTGTGCGATGGTGCGCTCTATTGTGCGATGGTGCGCTCTATTGTGCGATGGTGTGCTCTATTGTGCGACGGTGTGCTCTATTGTGCGATGGTGTGCTCTATTGTGCGATAGTGTGCTCTATTGTGCGATAGTGTGCTCTATTGTGCGATGGTGTGCTCTATTGTGCGATGGTGTGCTCTATTGTGCGACGGTGTGCTCTATTGTGCGATGGTGTGCTCTATTGTGCGATGGTGTGCTCTATTGTGCGATGGTGTGCTCTATTGTGCGACGGTGTGCTCTATTGTGCGACGGTGTGCTCAATTGTGCGATGGTGTGCTCTATTGTGCGACGGTGTGCTCTATTGTGCGACGGTGTGCTCTATTGTGCGACGGTGTGCTCTATTGTGCGATGGTGTGCTCTATTGTGCGATAGTGTGCTCTATTGTGCGATAGTGTGCTCTATTGTGCGATGGTGTGCTCTATTGTGCGATGGTGTGCTCTATTGTGCGACGGTGTGCGCTATTGTGCGATGGTGTGCTCTATTGTGCGATGGTGTGCTCTATTGTGCGTTGCTGTACATTGTTGTTCTCTACTGTGCGTTGGTGCACTCTTTTATACGTTGCTGTGCTCTTTTGTACTATATTGTGTGCTGTTTCACTCTGCTGTGGTCTGCTGTGCTCTGCTGTGGTCTGCTGTGCTCTGCTGTGCTCTGCTGTGGTCTGCTGTGCTCTGCTGTGGTCTGCTGTGGTCTGCTGTGCTCTGCTGTGCTCTGCTGTGGTCTGCTGTGCTCTGCTGTGGTCTGCTGTGGTCTGCTGTGCTCTGCTGTGGTCTGCTGTGGTCTGCTGTGCTCTGCTGTGCTCTGCTGTGGTCTGCTGTGCACTGCTGTGCTCTGCTGTGGTCTGCTGTGCTCTGCTGTGGTCTGCTGTGCTCTGCTGTGCTCTGCTGTGGTCTGCTGTGCTCTGCTGTGGTCTGCTGTGTAAATCCTCACTGCACTGGGCACCGACGCTGCGCCGGAAAAAATTACTTGTGCTCCACATAATTCACTCACAATTTTTATTACATTTTCCCTGAGACTCAGGCGGATTTCACCTCATATTTTTAATGCATACCAAATATTATGTACCGAATGGCAACTGCTGCCTGCTGGACTCATGGCAACTGCTGCCTGCTGGACTCATGGCAACTGCTGCCTGCTGGACTCATGGCAACTCCTGCCTGCTGGGCTTAAGGCAACTCCTTCCTGCTGGACTCAGGGCAACTGCTGCCTGCTGGACTCATGACAACTCCTGCCTACTGGACTCATGGTAACTGCTGCTTGCTGGACTCATGGCAACTGCTGCCTGCTGGACTCAAGGCAACTGCTGCCTGCTGGACTCATGGTAACTCCTGCCTGCTGGACTCATGGCAACTGCTGCCTGCTGGGCTAAAGGCAACTGCTGCCTGCTGGACTCATGGCAACTCCTTCCTGCTGGATTCAAGGCAACTCCTGGCTGCTGGACTCATGGCAACTCCTGCCTGCTGGATTCAAGGCAACTCCTGGCTGCTGGACTCATGGCAACTCCTGCCTGCTGGATTCAAGGCAACTCCTGCCAGCTGGACTCATGGCAACTCCTGCCTGCTGGACTCATGGCAACTCCTGCCTACTGGACTCATGGCAACTCCTTCCTGCTGGACTCAAGGCAACTTCTGCCTGCTGGATTCAAGGCAACTCCTGCCTACTGGACTCATGGCAACTCGTGCCTGCTGGGCTCAAGGCAACTCCTGCCAGCTGGACTTATGGCAACTCCTAGCTGCTGGACTCATGGCAACTCCTGCCTGCTGGACTTGTGGCAACTCCTGCCTGCTGGACTCATGGCAACTCCTGCCTGCTGGACTCATGGTAACTCCTGCCTGCTGGACTCATGGCAACTTCTGCCAGCTGGACTCATGGCAACTCGTGGCTGCTGGGCTCAAGGCAACTGCTGCCTGCTGGACTCATGGTAACTCCTGCCTGCTGGACTCATGGCAACTTCTGCCAGCTGGACTCATGGCAACTCGTGGCTGCTGAGCTCAAGGCAACTGCTGCCTGCTGGACTCATGGTAACTCCTGGCTGCTGGACTCATGGTAACTCCTGGCTGCTGGACTCATGGTAACTCCTTCCTGCTGCACTCAAGGTAACTCCTGGCTGCTGGACTCATGGTAACTCCTGGCTGCTGGACTCATGGTAACTCCTGGCTGCTGGACTCATGGTAACTCCTGGCTGCTGGACTCATGGTAACTCCTGGCTGCTGGACTCATGGTAACTCCTGGCTGCTGGACTCATGGTAACTCCTGGCTGCTGGACTCATGGTAACTCCTTCCTGCTGCACTCAAGGCAACTCCTGCCTGCTGGGGCAACTCCTGCCTGCTGAACTCATGGCAACTTCTGCCTGCTGGACTTACGGCAACTCTTGATTGATGGACTTTTCTACAATGCTCATTGCACCACTTGCCTGCTGGACTTATTGCAACAGTATTCCTTGAGCCTCTTGCTTAGTGTTCTCACGGGATCTTCTAGCAGCTAAGTTCATCTCAACTCTTTGCCATCATATTCGTTGCCACTATGACCCACAGTATCATGGCAACTCTTCGCCACTAACCCATGCCATCCCTGGCATGACCCAGACAACACATATTTAATACTTATGTTTGAGCTCTTATGAACACTAGACTGAAATTATAATGTTGATTAGGACATTGTGATGAGATGGCGCGGTGATGAGTTTTGGTAATGTGCGTGTAATCTGGGATGGTTCGTGCAGTCTGGGATAGGAGGATGGTTCGTGCAGTCTGGGATGGGAGGATGGTTCGTGCAGTCTGGGATGGGAGGATGGTTCGTGTAGTCTGGGATGGGAGGATGGTTTGTGTAGTCTGGGATGGGAGGATGGTTCGTGTAGTCTGGGATAGGAGGATGGTTTGTGTAGTCTGGGATGGGAGGATGGTTCGTGTAGTCTGGGATAGGAGGATGGTTTGTTTAGTCTGGGATGGGAGGATGGTTCGTGTAGTTTGGGATGGAAGGATGGTTCGTGTAGTCTGGGATGGAAGGATGGTTCGTGTAGTCTGGGATGGGAGGATGGTTCGTGTAGTCTGGGATAGGAGGATGGTTCGTGCAGTCTTGTCTGGGATGGGAGGATGGTTCGTGTAGTCTGGGATGGGAGGATGGTTCGTGTAGTCTGGGATAGGAGGATGGTTCGTGCAGTCTTGTCTGGGATGGGAGGATGGTTCGTGTAGTCTGGGATAGGAGGATGGTTCGTGCAGTCTTGTCTGGGATGGGAGGATGGTTCGTGTAGTCTGGGATGGAAGGATGGTTCGTGTAGTCTGGGATGGAAGGATGGTTCGTGTAGTCTGGGATGGAAGGATGGTTCGTGTAGTCTGGGATGGGAGGATGGTTCGTGTAGTCTGGGATGGGAGGTTGGTTCGTGCAGTCTGGGATGGGAGGATGGTTCGTGTAGTCTGGGATGGAAGGATGGTTCGTGTAGTCTGGGATGGAAGGATGGTTCGTGTAGTCTGGGATGGGAGGATGGTTCGTGTAGTCTGGGATGGGAGGATGGTTCGTGCAGTCTGGGATGGGAGGATGGTTCGTGTAGTCTGGGATGGGAGGATGGTTCGTGTAGTCTGGGATGGAAGGATGGTTCGTGTAGTCTGGGATGGAAGGATGGTTCGTGTAGTCTGGGATGGGAGGATGGTTCGTGTAGTCTGGGATGGGAGGATGGTTCGTGCAGTCTGGGATGGGAGGATGGTTCGTGTAGTCTTGGATGGGAGGATGGTTCGTGTAGTCTGGGATGGAAGGATGGTTCGTGTAGTCTGGGATGGGAGGATGGTTCGTGTAGTCTGGGATGGAAGGATGGTTCGTGTACTCTGGGATGGGAGGATGGTTCGTGTACTCTGGGATGGGAGGATGGTTCGTGTAGTCTAGGATGGGAGGATGGTTCGTGTAGTCTGGGATGGGAGGATGGTTCGTGTACTCTGGGATGGGAGGATGGTTCGTGTAGTCTGGGATGGGAGGATGGTTCGTGCAGTCTTTGATGGGAGGATGGTTCGTGTAGTCTGGGATGGAAGGATGGTTCGTGTAGTCTGAGATGGAAGGATGGTTCGTGCAGTCTGGGATGGAAGGATGGTTCGTGTAGTCTGGGATGGGAGGATGGTTCGTGTAGTCTGGGATGGGAGGATGGTTCGTGTAGTCTGGGATGGGAGGATGGTTCGTGTACTCTGGGATGGGAGGATGGTTCGTGTAATGTTTCACAACACTTTATGCTGGAACACTGACAAGTGACCAAGTATGGAGCCGTCTCCACTACATCAGTGCTTTCAAAATCCCCGTTCATTTAGTACTCTAACGATTACAAAAATATGTCTTGTTTCTCTCTGGAAAATTCTGTTAATTAGTATCCACTTGTGTACCCTTGTTCGTGTACCAACATTTCCAAATAGTCTGTTACTGTTTGCCATGTTTTTTCCGTAAATAATTTGTATGTCGTGATCATTTCTACCCTCTTTCTTCTCTCTTCAAGAGACGTAAGATTTATTTCCATTATCCTTTCCTTGTAACTCATAACTCTAAGCTCTGGGGACCAATCTGATGTTATGACTCTCGTTTTATCAAGGCTTCATTTTGTGTTTTTAAGATATTTGGTTTCAAGAATTGTATCTGACACACCAGTGTTGAGCGGTGTGTCAGATACAATTCTGACACAAGGAAGAAGCTAACACAAGATAGAATTAAACAAATAGAGGATGGAGCCGAGATTTGGGAAGAAAATCAGGTAAGCCTTTGCTGCGGCAGCAACGGCTTCAGAAGGAAAGAAAATAAGCGAGAAAACAGTGTTAGAAGCTGTACAAACTACCCAAGTCATGAAGTGTACGAGGCAATAGTTGGAGAAGGAGAGATCTGTAGTAATGTACAATCTACCAGAGCCTGGGAGGCACACAGGGCAAATATGAAGATAAAACGGAACGAAATACGTTAAACTCTACAAAAATTCAGGCTGGAGATGCAACATGGGTAATGCATCATTTTTGCAGACTAGGTTTGTTTCAGAGAGGAAGAAATCGACCATTGAAAATCATTTTATGAACAGCAACTTAGTAAAGTATACTATGGCAGAGGAGAGTTATTTAAGTAGTGAGTAAAAGTGCAATGCAGTGTTTATCAGACCGGACATGACTCAGGAGGAGAGGCAGCAATGGAAATCAGAGAGGAAAACGGTATTTTCCTCAACTATACCTACTATGTACATGCCTCACCTGTGACATGAAAAATATTCCTAGGTCTAGTATTGCACACATATGTACTATTTTAAGCCTCAGATATCGAGTATTAGGTCTAGGCCTATCGAGTACTAGTTTGGTTAGTTTAGTTTGTCAAAGCAACACAAGTAAAAAATAGTTTTCCTGTTTTACCAACTTATTAGTTCAGATTTCTACTTTCTAATTTCGTTGAACGTCGGGACATATATTATGGTCCTCATAGTTACTATATTTACTACCAAAATAGGAGGATGGGCTGTGTCAGGAGGAGCAAGATAAGATATGTATGTAAGATATAAGATACATGCTTGTATAACATATAAGATATGATATGCAAGCATGTAAGATACACAAATGCAGATGGAATTACAAATAAAGGTTGATTTACAGGAAAGAGTGCTAGAAGTACCACGACACATAGTCATGATAACAGAAACAAAACTGACTAGTGTTCTTACAGCTACATTGGAGCTTTGAAGAACTAAAAATGTCAGTTATAAGGAACATAAATGTAACTTTGTACACAGTATTCCAAGTAAAATGCTGGGGAAAGTAATCAGGTCCAGAATGATGGAGCATTCTGAAAGGATCAACTTTGTGACAAAAATTCAGCATGGATTTAAGCATGGAAAATCGTGCCTGACAAACTTGATTGAGTTTTATGACAAGGTTACTAAAATAAGACAGCAACCCTTAGCAGCTGTCTAACTCCCAGGTATCTATTTACTGCTAGGTAACAGGTGCATCAGGGTGAAAGAAACATTGTGCCCA